GAATTTCTTCAATGAATATTGTGAACAGTATTTTATTCAATTTCGCAGATGACTCTCGTTGGTCTAACCTCTGATGATAATACGGCAACACTGCTCATGTGTTCTATATACCCTCGTAAAGTCGGTCCGAGGAGGCACTTGAGCGCATCGTTGCCAGACGTCAGGAACGCGCAGATTCAAACCACCCAATATGGCCGTCGTACCAATCAAGAATTTTTCAATTTTACTATTATGGATGCAATGTGTTGAATTTCATTTTTTATAAAATCGTTTTCTCGCAAAAAATGTTCGGAAACTAAGGTTGATTAAACAATTGCAATCTTTGCATTCACTGCGACCCATGTCACTATTCCATCCTCTTGCGGCTAAAAAATACTCTTGGTATATTCTATAATCTCTGAAGAGGATGTCGCCTAGAAAATAATTGCTCGAACTTCTTAGATATCCTTATAATTCATCATTCACAATTTTCAGTTTACAGTATTTTGAGTCATTCTCTCATCTCCTGACACAAAATAAATGATTTCTTGAACTAGGAAATTCTCACTTCATCGGGAAGTCTTCATGTTGACGTCATGAACGCTTTAAGGAATTCGTCCACAAGGACTTCTCTCTCTCATTCTAAGGAATTCTTGTCCCAAGCCATTCGTCTTCAAGAGATAATACAGTCGGCTGAAGAAATGAGTTTTGTGATATTAGGTTGTTTTCTCCCAGTGTATATGAAGAACTATGAACTATTGGATTGAAGATGGAAGAATCCAGCACTTATGGACACAATGTGTTGAATTTCATTTTTTCTAAAATCGTTTTCTCGCAAAAAATGTTCGGAAACTAAGGTTGATTAAACAATTGCAATCTTTGCATTCACTGCGACTCATGTCACTATTCCATCCTCTTGCGCCTAAAAAATATTCTTGGTATATTCTAGAATCTCTGAAGAGGATGTCGCCTAGAAAATAATTGCTCGAATTCCTTAGATATCCTTATAATTAATCATTCACCATTTTCAGTTTTCAGTATTTTGAGTCGTTCTCTCATCTCCTGACACAAAATAAATGATTTCCTGAACCAGGAAATTCTCACTTCATCAGGAAGTCTTCATGTTGACATCATGAACACTTTAAGGAATTCGTCCACAAGGAGTTCTCTCTCTCATTCTAAGGAATTCTTGTCCCAAGCCATTCGTCCTCAAGAGATAATACAGTCGGCTGAAGAAATGAGTTTTGTGATATTAGGTTGTTTTCTCCCAGTGTATATGAAGAATGTGGGTTTTATTTTTTTTTTTTCGTGTTTCGGCTGCAGGTATACGAGAAAATCAGTTTCTTGGACTTCACGTGTGACAGACGTCTTCATGCTCCACAGGGCATTTCTCGGGCTCCTCGCCTTTTGTATTATTGTATTATAACCGAGCACGCCCGGACTCGGTGTTATAATAAAGAGTAATCGTGGAAGTTGGGTCCCTCGGGACGAGTCATCTCACGATTCTGTACGAAATCTCCGAAATTATAAAGAAGGAAATGAATACGTGATGAGGTTTTCACGTTCACGTTCGAAGAAAATTGGAATTTTATGGGCAGTTTAGTCGTAATTTTCAGGAGACTGACGTTGAAGTTTTTTTAGAAAGGGAGAGAATTAGGAACTTCATATTTTTAAGCAACAGAAGGGCGGAAGTGTTCCAACTGGCCTGAATTTTCAATCAAAACATGAATATTCAGTGAATTGAGGTAGATCCCTAGAAATGGGAAACGTTTTTCTTACGATTCGCTCCATGTTTTTCATAGATAATGTTTATAATAGTCCCCAATTATTGAAAAAAATGTTAACTGGCTACTACACAGTTTAGGAGATAATGAATCATGAAATCCGGGCTTCTAACACGCGAGGCATTGGCCAAACGGGGGTTATGGGCCCCCCCGAACTTGATTTTTCCATCTTATGAGAAAACGGTTCTTACACGGAGAGAAATGCTCAGTAAAAATTACGGAACTCTGACTTCACTCACCGATTACGGAATCGACTCAGAAAATTTAAGTGACGGTATCGTAATTTTTCACAAGAGATTCAGATAAAAATTACGGAACGCTCCGGAAAAATTCCGTGACAGTTCCGTAAAGTTTCCTACCACCACATTTCGCTCCGGAATTATGGAAAAGATACGTAATTTTTATTGAATATTTCTCTCCGTGTACGATGTTCTTAAAAAACTAATCCGCGATCGACGGATAAATTCCGAATACGATGAATTTTTGTAAAATTTTGTAACTACATCGTTTCCACGATATTCACCTCTAAAAAATGGAAATTTTGTGAAAGCATTTCTTATTTGATTCAAAAAATCATTAAAAAAATAATTTCTTATTTGAGTCAAACAGTTATTGTTGCCTGCATTAACAACTCGTGAAGATGAAAAAACTCAATAACTTATGAGAATACAATAAATTAAGTCATTTAGAATTTTTCCCGGAAATCCGTAGGGACTAACTTTTTGGTCCGATTGTCTTGGGATATACCTTAAGGATATCCAAGTACTTTGGCGATTTTATCTCAAGTGAAATGTTTTTCTACTCTTGTAGTCGAACATCAGACCTTTTATTTGAGCTCCATTTGACTCTAACTTGGAAGTAGATTGATAAAATAATTTAAAAATCGCAATTTTTGAATATTACGAGCATTTTCTATAAATAATTTATGAACAATCAATTTTCCACCATAAAAATCATTGGTTCGGAATCGTAACAAATTTATTCATATTCAGAATTTTACCAGAAATCGATTTCAGGGCTAAAAAAATAAGGTTTTGAAAGTTTGAACAACTTCAATTATTTAGCAATGTAAAAATTGTTACAAGAAACCCACGTACTCTTTAGAAACAATGAATTGAATTTGATTTGAATTATTTATTCATAAACAACGAATGTTTAAAAAAATAATAATTCAGTACAAAATGTAATTTGAATAACGCTGAATATTCATGATTTTTTTCAAATTCTTCTGACGCAATTGAATTGACAAATCTGATGATTGAAAATGCTTGAATCTATAGTGTGGTTTATACTAAACTCTATTCCGCTGAAAAATCGAACAGAAAGCTACAGTTTTCATCGATTTTATCATCAAATTGTGAATTAACAATTTCGTTTCCTAATTGTCCTTTTGTTCTATTCTCTGAATCTCAATGGGAACTTTCTGTTGCTGAAATTTTCGGTGTATCCGAAGAAACTGAAGCATCATTTCGGATTTTCGGTATTCATAACAGAACGAACGCTGCGAATAACGAACTTTCTCTATCATTAAATCGTTTCAACTGTCACAAGTCTAGTTTTTCTGTTTTTAAGAAAAGAAAATACTCCCTTTTCTGCGCTCCACAAATCATTTTCGCAATTTGTAAGCTGTCCACACTTACAAGAAAAGAGATTTCCTTTCTACAATTAGCAGCGATGACGAGGCATCAGAGATAATGGACTGACAACTCGCGCATTTCTCAATACAAATACATTGAATGTGATGGAAAACATGACACGCGAAAGGAAATTAATGGCCACATCAAACGGGACTCAAATAGGTAATAATTCTGCTCTATTTTCCACTAACAAAGGAATAAAAATAATCAATTACAAATTGCATAAACCATGACAATTTTTTCTTCATTCAAATATCCCATGTCCCAAAGAATTGATTCTGTCAACAGCAATTTCCAACAAAAGAAATTTTGCTCCAACATCCAAAAATACAATTAAGAGCTGAATAACCCTTTTGTAATTTACGATATTGCCCGAACCAACGATGCGATTTTAACGCGTCTACTCTCATTTTTAAGCTGAAAAAAAGACGGTGGAGTTGAAAAAAAATCGCGGAAGTTTACTCTGCCAAACTCAAGAAATTTACTACGCAAGTGCAATTTGCATTCGTTCTGCTCTAATTTTTGAGAAAAATAAAATAAAAAACAATCTAGTAAATTATTTACTCTCTCCCCCCTTTCTGATGCTTATGAAAAACATATCAACAAAACCAACAACAATAGAATTTCGAAAAATGACATCATCTATGCAACAACTGTTCTGTTCAATTTACTCCTACTCTTCGAACTCTCCAATATCACCTAAACCAACGATGCGATTCGAGGGCGTCTGCTCTTATTTTAAAGCTTGAAAAAAGACCGTGAAATTGGAAAAAAAATTGTGAAAATTCACTCTACCACAGTCGAGTTATTCACCACGCAAGTTGAACTTTCATCCAACCTGTCTTAATGAAAAAAAAATCTAGCGCCCCCCTCCCCCCTCCTGATGCTCAACAAAAACATTTCAACAATAGTATTTTAAAAAATGACATGATCTACACAACAAATGTCGTGTCCACCCACTCAAAAAACACCTTGAAAGATCCACCGAAAACCCGTGCTCCTATGCAATTTTTTTCTAAATTTTGCAATATCTCTTGAACCAACGATGCGATTTGAATGCGTTTACTTTCGTTTTAAAGCATCAAAAAAGACCTTGAAATTGAAAAAAAAATCATGGAAATTCACTCTACCAAACTCGAGTTATTCACCACGTAAATTTAATTTTTATTCATTCTGTCCTAAAAAAATAATCTAGAAAATTTCCCCCCCCCCCCCCACACTTTTGACGCTCAACAATAGTATTTCAAAAAATGACATAATCTGTGCAACAAATATCCTGTCCACCAATTCAAAAAACACCTCGAAATATCCACGGAAACCTCTAAATCCCCAATTCCCCATTTGTTGACATATTCCGTTCACTATCGATTCGTGTGATTGTACTTCCAGTATTCCACCTCTCGATTCATGAATAGAATCGAATTCATAACACTGAAATTCCCATTCACCCATCTCCCAAAATTCATTACCACCCCCCCCCCCCCCCCCCCCCCCCC